GAGGAGGAGGAGTAGAGAGGAGGGGGGGGGGGAGAGAGAGAGAGAGAGAGAGAGAGAGAGAGAGAGAGAGAGAGAGAGAGAGAGAGAGAGAGAGAGAGAGAAGGTGGGTCTTGGTTGACACCATCCGTGTTGGTGGGTAATATTTTATCCTCAACCCTCCGTTGGTTACGGGCAGCAGGCCTAGAGGTAAGGGGGTTCGGTTCACCGCCAGAGTACAGCGGTAGTGGGAAAATTGAAAGCAGGCAACCCCGCACGTGCTGTAGATTGCGATCTTCTGCACGCCTTCTATACAAGAATGTAAACTAATACGCCGTAGGCAGTATGTAGTGGACGACAGAATCCAGTAGACTGCTGCATTTGTTTCGATTTTCCATGCGCCACTGCTCAAGCAGTAGTCTACGTCTCCGAAAACGCCCCCCAAGACATCTTCTTCTGCCCGCCGTTGTCGTTGTCAAGACGTTCTTGTTGTTGGCAGCGGTATCCAGCCACGTGCCCTACCCCTCCGAGCCTCCGCCTAGGTGTGGGCTTGACGAAGTAAGGCTGCCTGGACTTGAAATGTCGGTGAGACCGCGGTGTGCCTTTGCGTGTAAGCAGACGTTGATCGAGCGAGGAGAGAGAGAGAGAGAGAGAGAGAGAGAGAGAGAGAGAGAGAGACGCATAAAAGAGAGAGGTACAAGGCTTTTTGGCGGCTTACGCCGCCACGCTGAGAGAAGCGTACCGCAAGACGAAGGTTACTTAGTGTTTGATGCACGATGTTAGTCGGCGTTTGTTGAATGGGGCCTTCGTTTGTGGCATGCCGCGGCTGTGAGATTCCCGTGAAGTACGTTCCCATGAATATGCTTAGGGTTGTTTACATGCATGCGAGAAACGGAGATAAACGAAGCCAGCCCTGAAAAGATCCCGGAGAGAGATGAAGTTCTTGTGGACATGCATGTTCGGCGCGTGCATGCGAGATCCCAGAGAGACGAACGCGTGTATTTTGAAACATGTGGAAGTCCGACGTGTCAGAGAGCAGACTACTGGCTGCCCGAAAGAGACAGAGACTGGCCTAAAGCCCTGTGAGAGGCGCAGTTAAACGATGAGATGTATTTGTAGTGGTGGGTGGGGAGCAGAGGAAAGCGCCTAAAAACGGTTCCTTCCTCGAGCGAGCGAGAAATAGCGGGAAAACGGAATGACCATTTTTCAAAACTGAAAACGGGAAATATGAATCTGGATGTTAAAAAAACTCTACATACTGCTGTGGTGTGGGACATGTGAGAGGGCCTGCTGTTGTTGTGTAAGAGGGGAGAGATACTGGCGGCACGAAGTAATGTGACGTGTGTGAAAGGGAGGAAGGTTCCGTGCGACCGAGCCGGGTGTGATGAACGAGCCAGACGCAATGATGAGACATGAGAGAGAAACGGTGAACGAAAGAAAACAACAGCGAGGAACAGATGGAAACGAGGAAATGGAGCGCTTTAGAGAGACCGAGAAGGCCCGAAATGGGGTCCTCTCAGCGTAGATCCAGACAGACAGAGAGGGAAGCAACAGAGGGCCAGACCTAGTGCCTCGTGTAAGAGCCGCAAATAAATGTGTGCAGCGGAGGACAGAGCGACAGACGTGGTGTGATCGGAAAGCCAGAAGGACCGGACCATCTAGCCAGTCTATCTCAAAGAGATCGGAATATATAAGCATAGACTACGTATTGAATACTTGCCTGCGTTTGTTTAGAAGAGCCTCTGCTTGGAGATATTGGATGAACCCAAAGTGAAAAGAATTGCCCACAACAACCACATGACAACAGAGTTTACAGGCAGCCACGCATGTATCGGAACACGCATGCATTTATTGAGAAAGCACGATGCTGTTCTTTATTGTTCTGTTGGAAAGAACAGCAGCGTGTCATCGTGTATACA